GTTTTCCAAGCATCTTTTGTTGAAGAGGTTATATTTTCTCTTATGTAAGGTTTTGGCACCTTTGTCTAGTATGAGATAACTGTATTTATGTGGGTTTTTCTCTGTGTCTTCTATTCTGTACCATTGCTCTACGTGTCTGTTTTGGTGCCAACACCATGCTGTTTTTGTTACTACAGCTTTGTAGTATAGTTGAAGGTCTGATATTGTGATACCTCCTGCTTCACTCTTCTTGCTAAGGATTGCTTTGGCTATTCTGGGTCTTTTATTTTCCAAATAAATTTAATGATTGTTTTTTCTATTTCTATAAGGAATAACATTTTGTATTTTAATTGTAATCAAATTGAACTGAATAGCGCTTTGGGTAGTATGGCCATTTTGACAATATTAATTTTGCCTATCAAGAGCCATGGGAAATCTTTCCATCTTCTAAGGTCCTCTTCAATTTCTTTCTTTAGAGTTCTGTAGTTTTCATTGTAGAGTTCTTTCACCTCTTTTGTTAAGTTGATTCCCAAACTTTAGTCATTTATTTAGCTTTTCAACATTCCAGAATCTCCTTCCTGGCCACCTGCTGGACAATGTGTCTCACCCACCTATTTCCATTTACCACCTACTGTTCTCAGATAGCAGAAAGGAAGGATTAAAGCAAGGCTTCCTCTCAGCTTCTTCTATGGATAACAATAAAGGCACCAGAACTTCACTTTTCAAATTTCTAATGAATAGTATGGAATGTGTTTAAAAACACAGATGTAAGACCCACACCTGGTGTGATTCCCATGTCTGTCACTGCACTAGCTGTGGGATCTTGGGCAAATGATTTAACCTCTCTCTGCCACACTTTCCTCACCTGTGAAATAGAGATAGCATCCCACTTGGGTTATTCTACAGATTAAATTAATGTGATATATATATATATATATATTTACAATACCTACAAATGAAAACAACTATAATCATTACCTAAATTTCAAAATGAGAATTATTTTAGTGTTGTGATCTATTTTTTTTAATTTTTTAAAAAATTTATTCTAATCTGTTATATATAAAGGCAAAATGTATTACAGTTCATATTACAAAAAAATCAAAAAAATTCATATTATAAAAAACTCAAAAATCTGAACATCAAAAAACAAATACCCCAATCAATAAATGGGCCAAGGAACTGAACAGACACCTCTCAGAAGATGATATACAATCAATCAAATATATGAAAAAATGTTCAACATCTCTAGCAATTAGAGAAATGCAAATCAAAACTACTCTAAGATTTCATCTCATTCCAGTCAGAATGGTAATTTTTTCATATCTCTGGTTGTATATACAGTACTTTCACACCATTCGTGTTTTTATACATGTACTTAAGGTAATGATATCCCATCTCATTCCACCATCTTTTATACCCCTCACCCCCTCCCTTTCCCTCCTACCCCTTTGTCCCATCCAGAGTTTGTCCAATTCTCCTATGCTCCCCCTCCCAGCCCCACTATGAATCAGCCTCCTTATATCAGATTTGGCATTTGGTTTTTTGAGATTGGCTAACTTCACTTAGCACTATATTCTCCTACTCCATCCATTTACTTGCAAATGCTATGATTTTATTCTTTTTAATATCTGACTAATATTCCATTGCATATATATACCACATTTTCTTTATCCATTCATCTGCTAAAGGGCATCTAGATTTGCTCCATAGTTTAGCTATTGTGAATTGTTCTGCAATAAACATTGATGTAGCTATGTCCCTGTAGTGTGCTGTTTTTAAGTCCTTGAGGTTTAGACCAAGGAATGGGATAGCTGAGTCAATTGGTGGTTCCATTCCAAGTTTTCCAAGGAATCTCCATACTGCTTTCCATATTGGTTGCACCATTTTGCAGTCCCACCAGCAATGTATGAGTGTGCCTTTTTCCCTACATCCTTGCCAATACTTATTGTTGTTTGTATTCTTAATAGATGCCATTCTGACTAGAATGAGATGAAATCTTAGAGTAGTTTTGCATTTCTCTAATTGCTAGGGATGTTGAATCTTTTTTCATATATTTGATTGATTGTATATCATCTTCTGAGTGGTGTCTGTTCAGTTCCTTGGCCTATTTATTGATTGGGTTACTTGTTATTTTGGTGTTTAGCTTTTTGAGTTCTTTATATACCCTAGAGATTAGTGCTCTATCTGATGTATAAGATGCAAAAATTTTCTCCCAAGATGTAGGTTCTCTATTCACCTCACTGATTATTTCTTTGGCCAAGAAGAAGCTTTTTAGTTGGAATCCATCCCATTTATTGAATCTTGATTTTAATTCTTGTGCAATAGGAGTCTTATTAAGGACATTGGGGCCTAATCTGACATGGTGGAGATTTGGTCCTACTTTTTCTTCTAATAGGCACAGTATCTCTAGTTTAATTAGTAGGTCTTTGATCCAGTTTGAGTTGAGTTTTGTGCATGGTGAGAGGTAGGGGTTTAATTTTATTTTGTTCCATATGGATTTCCAGTTTTCCCAGCACTGTTTGTTGAAGAGACTGTCTTTTCTCTAACATATGTTTTTAGTGCAAGAGAATAAAGAGGGAGAAGAAAGAACAAGAATTGTTTTGGTTGGAGATCAGTATCTTCCCTGCTTCCTTTCTTATCCAGTAGCTGAGGTTGTCTGTTCTTAGTTGGTATCTCCGCCCTCAGGATGGTAGGGGTTACCAGGTTTTGAGGGTTGGTCTTGGGTACAAGGCACCTGGAAGTAGGGTCTGGCACTCACTGGTCCCATTTGGGAGACTGCACCTCAACGATCTATTTTGGGGGTCTGCTCCTGTGAGGTGGGTGCTATGTCTCATCTCCCCATCTCACCTGTAGACCTCACAGTCTTGCCCTCTAAATTAGTCTCTAAATGTGTCTCCCATACCCTCTCCCTTTCTACTTCCTAATAGGAACCTTTCTCTTGGGAGTCTCATGTGTTCCATTCTGGTGGCTGGGTATCTTTGGAGGGTTGTTTTGAATTGGGCAGTCACTCTGCTGAGTTAGTGACTGCTGGGGTCTGGTGGGAATTAGAAAACTATGGCCACCTGGTATAGTGGATTACAGTATTCCAAACTGTTAGTTGCCCCAACTAAAGACTGGGATGGAAGTGACCCAGGATGGAGGCTGCTACTTTCAGTGATGGGGTGTCGGTTCGGGTAGGGGAGTCGGGCAATGGCATTGTGTGATGCATTCAGAGATGAGCTCTGTGGTGTGCAGTGTTGCGGCTGTTGGCTTTCTTTAGAGCCTGTGATGTGTCCCCAGGTGTAGGCAGGCTACTGTGAGTAGGGGACTCTGGCAGTAGCTGCCCAGTCCCAAGACGGAGGTGACCGGGGAGCCCCACATTAGTAGATGGGGGTCCATAGGGACTGGCAGCCGGATTTCCTGCCAGTGGGTAGTGGCTGAGTGTCCTTGGTGGGAGTGATGTCTGGGAGTTCTTCACCTGTGCTGATGCCAGTGGTCCCTCTAAGGCACCCGCCAGACCTACATGGGTGAGCAGTTGGGAGTCCTTTTCTAATGCTGAGATCTGGGGCCTACATGGCACAGCAGCCATGATTCCTGTAAGGGATCAGCTATGGATCAGCTGTCACTCTCAGCAAAGCAGTATTCTCACTAGTTGAGACCCGAGACATGGAGTTACACAGAATGCTGCCTCCCTCTGGCCCGCCATCTTTAGATCCCCTGTGTCATGATCTATATGAGAGGCTTATTCTGAATCTCAGAATAAGCATTGCATTTGGGGGGGGGGCGAGGGAGTACTGGGTATTGAACTCAGGGGAACTTGACATCCCAAGCCCCATTTTGTATTTTATTTAGAGACAAGCACTCACTGAGTTGCTTTGCACCTCATTGTTGCTGAGCCTGGCTTTGAACTCGGGATCCTCCTGTCTCAGCCTCCCGAGTCATTGGGATTACAGATGTGCGCCACCACGTCCAGCTGTTATTTTAATATTAACTAGCATTTTTCTCTTACAAATGAAAGGCCTGAGTATTGATCCCCTTTTTTTAATTATTATTATGCTGGATTTCCTAAGCCTCGATTGCCTTGTTCTTTAAGTTGTTATGGTAAGAAGGGAAAATGATGCTTCTGTATGAGGGGCTGTAAATACGAAGAGTGACTATCTCAATTTGCCTGGAATTGAGGGATTTCTTGAGATATGTTAGTACTAAAATTGGGCACATCATTTGCATCCATGGTGGTTAGACACCCTCGATATAAGGGCATTACATAAAGCAGTGACAAAACAGGGGAAGGGAGACACATATTAGTACTAATTTCATCAACACAAAATAATTCTTGGTATAATAACAGTGTTATTTTGATTTGTTTTTATGGTGCTGGGGATTGACCTCAGGGCCTTGCTCATGCTGAGCATGTACTCTAACACTGAGCAATTACACCAGCCTCTTGCCTTGAGTTTTGACTCTAGCAATCCCTAGTGAGAATATTAAGGATGAAATTGTACTGAACTCATTAATTCTAAATGTCAGGCATTTGAATTTCATTTTTTGCTATTATCATCTTGGTATAGATCTTTCCCCCTTCATTTTATGTTGTTCTCCTTTCTTCTGATCATTTTGTGCTTGTTATTTTTTTTTTTCAGGTCAACTCAGATCAAAACGTACTCTTGGGACAATGCCCAGGTTATCCTGGTTGGGAACAAATGTGACATGGAAGATGAGCGGGTCATTTCAACCGAGAGAGGCCAACATTTAGGAGAACAGCTTGGTAAGAAACAAATTAGTAAATTAACAAGAAGAGAACTTGGTAATTATTTGTAACACTCTACAAAGTTTCAGGTAATCATCAGAGTGACATTAACCGAAAGTTTGTCAACAAACTGGAAAGCAGCTCACGCCTCTGTACGTGGTTTGTGCCTTTCTTACTTGCTACAATATCGATGGAATTCAAGCACAATTACAGAAGCAAAGCTGATAACAAGATTTTAGTTTTAGTGCAAGGTTTCTCACTCTTATTCTGTGAGAAACATGGATTATGACTTTCCCACTATTTCCATACACATCATTTTGCACTGAGTAAGCATGTTATTGTGTAATTGTTGTTCTCATAATTGGCATTTGGTAATGCCACCAAACACATCACATCCTTGATTCTAGTTCTGTGGACATCATTGATAACTCATGTTACTATTACAAACCATTTTTAGACTCAAGTTTCTCATCTCTCAAGAATGAGTTTCATAACCTGTGCCTACTTATCCAAGCCCTTATAGATACCATCAGCCAAAATGATACGTGTGCACTTTAGAAATAACAAGGCCACTTCAAACACAAAATTGTAACAGAAACCAGAGTGAGGAGGGTAGAGTTTCTGTGTAAAGGAAGGACTAATGACTGGTTAAATCAAGGCTTTTTAAAATATTATTTTATGTCTTCCTTTGTGCCAGACATCATGGGGGATACAAACAAACATGATCCACAGTCCTTATAGATACCATCAGCTCAAGTTGCTGCTAAGCAAGTGGGGAGACTAGAGACACGAGAAATAACAAGACAACAACAACAGGTCAATGAGGTGTTGATGAGCTGGAAGGCAGATTCCCAAAGGAAATGTCCAGAAATAGGGAGACAGACATAGGGACAGACAAGGAGCAGACACCTGCTGGGATAGTAGGTGGAGATGGCAGCGCCCTTAGGAAGACAAGTAAGGAGACAAGATGGAGATCATATAGACTAAATGGCAAGGTATGGAGACCAGCATTTAGAAACTACCAAGGGGAGAAGATGCATTCTGGGTGAAGGGCACTGTGGTAGGCAGACATTAAGAAGAGCTAAGTTGAAAGGACAGTGAGTACAAAGGTTAGAAAACCTGGTGTAAGACTGCAGAAGTTGTGAGTTTGGAGAACGATTCCAGCCCTCAAGTTTAGAGCTGGGATTTTTTTGTTTGTTTAACTAATTTTTCTGTAGAACACAGAGAATGATAAGGGATTCTTATCAGAGAAAGAGTCAAACTTTCCAACCTTTTTGTCCAGGACCTGCAGTAAGAAATATATTCAATATGCTGATCTAGTGCCTGTATATGGGGAAGCAGGGAGTGAGGAAGAAACAAGTTCTCACAAAATACACTAGAAGAGATTCACTTTACTGCCTTTCTTTTTCTGTTGTGTTAATGATGGTCTCAACTCCTAAGTGGATCCCACTAGTGAGTCTCAACCTACCATATAAAAAACAGTGCCATAAAATGGGTGTTCTGAATTAGTCTGCTTTGGTTGTAGCACAGACAGGTGAAGCAGAGACCCTCTGAATGGATCAGTCTATCCCTTGGTAGTCTCATAATGGAGCTAAGCCCAGTTCACTCTGAGAGTTTGGCCATTTCCTCATGAGATCAATGGGCTCGTTCCATTAAATGGGTGGACAATATTACCCATGACAACGAGAGAATTCTCCACCAAACATTCTTAGAGCCACTCATGAAAAGTCCCACAGATGATGTCTGGATTTACCCATTCTATCAATTTATCAATATTTTAGGAAGAGTCTGAAAGCTTGGCAGCCTTTCTTAGTTTCTCAGGAAGACAGGAATAGAGAATAGTAGACTCATAAGAAAAAGGAACAAGGAAACCTAGGAGAGCTTTAGCAGAGTGACTTCCTCAGACTATCTCTTCCCTCCTTGTGTTTTCTTGACTACCCAAGTATATGCCATGCAGAGAAAAAACTGCTATATAGATAGAATCTGTCTCTATAAATAAGCCTGAAACTGCTTGGTTCCAAGAAAATTCAATCAAATTCAAACATTGCTCCATGTCATTGCCACACAAGAGTGAGGTAATAGCTAAATTTTTTTCATGATAACACAGTACTCAGGTGCTGAGAACAGGTCATTGAAGGGGTATTAGATTAGTGGAAATGCATCAGGATCCTGACTTTCCCTAGAACTCCACCATCTGACACATATACACACCCTCTCCATTCACTGCACAGACATGGGCAAAGTTACTGGAATGTGAGGTAGAATTGTTTTGAAATGTTTTATCTTTCTGTGCAAGTTCTGCCAATGGTTTCTAATTGATTTTTTTTCTCTCTATTCAATAAAAACCCAGCAGTTGTCATAGCAACCAACACGTGTGCATTCTTGAAGAGTCATTTACCTCCTTCAGTGTGGTTTGCTCGCCTCATGATTACACATGCATCTATAGATAATCAGGAGAGATCATTTATTTGGAGGAGGGTGGACAATAATACCCAGAATCTAAATATAAAGGTTTTAAAGAATTTAATTTACTTAAATTACTGGTATAATTTTTCTCTCCAGAATACTGTCATACATGCAAAGAAGTTAGGCATTTTTTTTTAAAGGTCATTACCATATCTTGGCAGATGGCTCAAAATAACTGGTTTATTGACCTGGTTTCAATAATTCTGCATTATGGGTGGTTATATCCATATAACATTTTCTCATCCTAATGAGGGTTTTTGATGAAACCAAGTTGTAGCTGAGAGCTTTAAATTTCTTACATGGCCCGTGCCCTTGCCAATGTAATTTCATTCACCAAACATTTATTAAGTGTATATAATATGCCAGCTCCTGAGAATATAATGACAAACAGCCCTGCCTTCCAGAAATCATTATGTTGATGGTGATAGACTATATGAACAAGGATCATTTTTCCTGGCCTTCCCTCTGCTAGCCATTTTGTTTCATTTGATTCTGATGAGCAACCCTTCTTTACAATACCTTAGTTTCCATGACACAGTGCCCTCTGTTCTCCATGATCCTTCCAGCCAAGCGTTCTGTCCTTGGTAGACTCCTCCTTTCTCTCTGTTGCACTTTGACTTTCCCTCTGTGTCCCCCCACCCACTCTTCAACCTCTACACCCTCCTTTGTATATTCCCATCCATTACAAGATTTTTAATTCCACCTACAAATTAATGACTGCAAATTGGGCCCCAGTACTGACCTCATGATCTAACCCCAGGCTCCTCTATCTACCTGCCAATTCTATATACATTCAGAATTTATGACGTAGGGTGGTTGGTTAATCTATATGCAGCTGCGTTAACTGGAGTTTGATATGCATGCTCATCCACCCTAACTTGGACCTATTGCATCAGAGTTTTTGAAGTTAAAGCCTAGGACCTACACTGTTTAGCAAACACTTTTGTAACTTTTATACAATACCAAATTTTTTAGCACACTGACTTTCACAGCAGGGCGTATTTAGAGAGGATAAGAAATTGCTGCCAGAGCTCAATATTGTCCTATAGGTGGCACTATTCTTCCCATGCATGCTTTCAACTTTGAATCTATGGGCATACACTCTATAACATTATGTAAGAATGTGTGTCTTTTATATTGAATTTACAATAAGACAATTATATATATACACTCTCAACATTTAAGTTGTGTTAAACTATTAAATGTTGAATGAAAAAAATGGGACATGTAATTAAAGACAAAGGTTATCTTAAAGTAGAATTTACCTGGGAAAAGGAATAAAGAAATTTATGGAGGGAAAGGGATTTGGATTGCCTTGAAGTCATAGGGAAAGAATACTGACCTGTGAAAGAGTAGAAAGTCCTAAGTTTCCCAGAAATGTAGTCAGAGAAACAAAGCCTGCAGATAAATTAAAATTGCTTTTGGAAAAAAGTGATTATTTTGATTATCAATTTGTAAAAAAGTCAGTTTTTAATGTGTTTTTTAATTTACATTAATATTTCTTGCTAAAGAAAAAAGAAAATGATATTCCCAATTACTTTTCAAACAACTGTCATGCCATCTAGATGTATTACTAAATTCCGATCTATCCCTGCATCCTTCTCCCTTGTTCTGTGCAGAGACCTCATGAGGATTTCTTTTTCAATTTTATTTATTTATTCATTTTCATGTGAAGCTCAGTATAGAACCCAGGGCCTCGCACGTGCTCCAGAGTGCTCTACCGCTGAACCACAACTCCAGGCCCCCCATGAGGATTTCTGACAGACACAAAATATGCATAACGCTGCCATCTTTCCAAGCTGGAAAATTTTCCTCCCTTTCTTTTCACATTTAGTGATGTTTTGTTTTGTTTTGATCAATGGTCTGACAAATATCTTTTCAACTCCTATAATGACGTTGAAGAGTATAACGGATGTCATCTCTTTTGTGGCGCTTAAAATGTGGTCTATATATCAGAAATTCTCTCAAATATCATGATGCACAAATTAAACAAGGTTGGAGGGCATCAGCATGTGTATTTTGAAGGATGGAGGAGGAGCACTGATTTCTATGAGAGGACAGTTGCTTCTAATTTTAGGAATATAAAGACTGAAAAAAAAGATATATTCTATGCCTACAAACTCTGAAACATGTTGATTTGATAAAGACTGGCTTCATTAAACAATTCCTTCAAGGACTTAGTGCCTTAAAATAAAAAGAGGTAATAAAAAAAGAATATTGTCCTAATAAACTTAGGACACTATTCCACACCAATATACTAATGTAACCCAGTTATCTCTGGAAGTGAGAGTTGATGCAGGAAGAATATGTGATGGCTTTCAAAAGCATTTAGAGAAATCATGGGAGGCAGATCCTAGCGAGAGTTCAGATTTGGGGGGATTTTTCTGTTCCATCAGGGATAAGAGTTTGGGACTATTGTTGTATTGTATGTCCTAGTCCCAGTCTTGCAGCAAAGCCCACGAAATTGAAAGAATCATCATTAAAACCCAGACAGGAAAATCCACCTGATTTTAGTAACCGTGATTCTGATTGTTGATGAACCTGAGTGACCC